TTTGAGACAGGGTCTCAATATGTAGCCCTCAAACTCTTAATCCTGCCTCAGCCTCTGCAGTACTAGAATTACAGGCATGTTCTACTAAGTCCAAGTCATTAATTTACTTTATCATAGCTTTATTTATTCTAAAAGGCTTACAACTTCCTGAAGATGTTCTTTTAGAGGTTAATGTCTTTTTTGTTACATTGTTTATTGGGTCTGTGTACATATAACATATGTGACACATTATGTATGTTGAGATCAGAGGACACGTTGCAGGAGTTATTTCTCTTCTTTTACCATGTGGGTTCTGGAAATGAACTCAGTCAGCAGCAGGCTTAGCAGCAGATGACTTTATATGTTGGTCACCTTGCAGGCCCTTGGTTTAATGTCTTTACTGTCTACTACCCTACAACTTTCATTAACACTTATACACTTAATCATAGCTATAATTTTATACAGTAAGGGAATCTTTTCCTGAATAGTCTGTAGTTTCTAACATGGAAAATTGTTTGTAAAACCCAAATTTTAATCTTGGGGTTTGAGTGTTTCAGTATTTGGATACTATTACATAGATTAGCTAATAATTTGTATAAATGTAAGATGTGCAATGTAAAGACAAATAGACAGGCCAATTAATTTGAGTCTCAAGAGATATCAACTTAGCAGTTTGTCTACCTGTTGTAGTATATTATTAGTTAATTTCCTGGATTTCAGTTTTTGTCTACTCAGTTCTAGTTCAAAACCCAGCCATGCATTTAGAAAAGCCTTTTACAATCCAGGGAAATTGATTCTGTGATCTGAAATATAAATGATCTTCTACAGCAATCAAGTCCTTTAATTGTTTCTTCTCTGTAACTATAATACAGCCAATTAAGTAGGGCTGGAATGCAGCCCAATGATAAGTGCTTGCCTAGCACATGCAAGGCACTGCATTTATCACCCACATTGAGGAAGAGGGAGTTAAGCAAACACAATTCAGGTTTATTCTGCCAGCAATTACAAAGCCATAGGGAACTAATTGCTTCTAAGCAGGTTTCTTTTTAAATTTTCTTTTTAAAACAGACACTGATGTATTCTAGGCTGGCCTCAAACTCACTGTATAGTAGAGTGAGAATGAACTTGAATTTCTGATCCTTTTGTGTCTACATCTCAAATGCTAGGATTACAAGCATGACCCACCACCATGCCTGGTTTTTGCAGCACTACAGATTAAACTCAGGGCTTCACGTATGCAACATAAGCATTACTACCAGAACTACATCCCTGGCCCCTAACTATTTCTAAATGCCTTACTAATATCCCTTTCAAGACGAATGGTAAATAGAGCAGACTAAAACAATTATGACCTAATGTAGGACAAACCATGCACTTTGGTCTATTCTCACAAATTTGTTAAATTTAAATAAAAGTAGTATTTTTGTCATAAAATGTCTTACTTTTGGAACATGGGGATTAAATTCCACAGCTCTATGAATTGCTTCCACAGCATTAATTTCTGCTGTGCTTAACCCTCTTCTGGAGGCTGTTTCTGGAGAGAATCTGTAAAGAAAACCACAGGATGAAGAAATGAACGAACCACATGTACAAAGTCTACTGGGAACTATATACATGGATTCAGATTACAATATATTCCTCAAATCAAAGCTGTTTCTGGCAATGGCCAAAGACAAAACCAGATAACCAATAAAAATGAAAGTAAAGCCTCTGGCTCAACATGTGCCCAAAGCAACAGAAGGAATGAGAATCACAGCCTGAAGTGCAGAGAGCCTTTGGAGACCACTGAGCTCACTCTGAGAAGGGTGACTACAGTAAGAAATGCTGAGAAAGGAACTCAGAAAATCTTAGCACACACAATACAGATTTTATAAAAATTTTAGCTGACAAGAAATAAACTGAATATTTTATTCTAATTTATATCAAGATATAATAAGCCAAGGTGAAAAAAAATGAGCACCATTTGGTTAGTTTCTGGCTCTCCATTCATTCATTCATTTTATCTATCTATCTATCTATCTATCTATCTATCTTTATTTATTTATTTATGTATTTATTTATGTATTTATGTATTTATTTATTTATTTAAATAGGATCTCATCACTGGACCTGGCCAGATTCTAAATATCTCAACGGCCAAATAAAGAGAATTGACTAAGGAGAGCCAAAAGTGTAAGGAAGAGACAGTAACTTCAATGGAAGGGAAAGATGAAACCGGTTTGTTGACATGCACCTTACTGTTACCAGCATCACTGTTACCACATTAAATGGATACTTTTTTTTTTTTTTGAGACATATATACCCCAGGATAGCCTTTAGCTTGTCATGTAGTCAAGGCTAGCTTTGAACTCTGTTCCTCCTCCCAAATGCTGGTATTATAGATATAAGCGTCACACTCAGTTCTCTGTGGCATCTTTCTTGAAATTGCTATAGTCATTTGACACATATCACCTCACACAACCACGTATAATATGATTTTCTTTTTTATAATTTTATTTTCATTTTTATTTTTATGTGCATTGTGTTTTGCCTGAAAGTGTGTCTGTGTGCCGGGTCCCCTGGAACTGAAATTACAGACAGTTATGAGCACCATATGCATGCTGGCAATTGAACCTGGGTCCTCTGAAGAGCAGCCAGTACTCTGAACTGCTGAGCCATCTCTCCAGCCCTCCCCCGCATATTATTCTCAAAGTAACAACTCTCACAGCTATATCTACTGTGTGGTAGAGTTTGAATCTAAGTCCCAGCTTACTTAACTCTACACAGCTCTGTCTGTCATCACATCACATACAATGAGAAGCCTCAGTCACAGAAGAGCAAGGGTTATTGAGGTAGAAAGAGAAAGGAGAAAGAGTGTTGTTAAAAGTTAGTAGAGGACAAAAACCTTATTAAATGTTCAGCAGTCTTTCCACATTATTGTGGTTTCATAAGTACTTACTTATCTGAAACAGTCCTTGTTTTCAAGAGTGCTGCTGTGTAGCAGATGGCTGCTGACTTTGGGAGGCTTATATCTGTAACAATAATTGTCAATTTAGGTAAGGATTAAAAATTATAACTCCTAGTACAAATTCATCAGTTGTAATACAGTGTTATAGGTGCCTGGACACATTGTTGGAAGGCCTACCTTTGAGACTAGATTTTAATATTTACTAGTGGTATATCCCTGGGCTAGAAGCAATTTTATTGTTCTCTTTTCTTTTTTCTCTCCTTTTTATTTTTTTCTTTTTTGTTTTTTTGAGACAGGGTAGCCCTGGCTGTCCTGGAACTCTTTTTGTAGACCAAGCTGGCCTCAAACTCACAGAGATCTGCCTGCCTCTGCCTCCTGGGTGCATCACCACCACCCAGCCTTGGTCTCTTTTCATACTTCCTAGCAGAGATTAAACTATGTTGATAAAAGTGCTCTGTATGGTGGCAACAAGTATTCTACAAATGTCTATAATAATCTGTTTACAATAAGATAGTCAGAGGAAATCCACAGTATAATTAAAAGTATGTAAAAACTAAGATTAGAAAAAAAATAAAATACTTAACTGCTATTATATCTGTATTGATTTTTAACTTTTTCCATACTTTTTTGATTTTTTGACTTTTCTACATTTTCTTAAAGGGCCACATTTCATAGAGTATGAAGTTTATTTGAGATCACAAACAAATCCTTTTTCGGGAGGATGCCTAAAACAGTGGTCTTAGAAGAGAGTGAAGCACTCTCATGATGTTCTCAGTTTCAGACTTTCACAGTGAATGGAGATCTCAGGGAGAAAGCCCATTTCTGGTGACTTCAATCTGTACAGTGATGTACACAGAGACACATGAACACCCAAACCACCAAAGCATCCCAAATGACATAGGCTCTATTCGCTTTAGAGGGTTTTACTTTATTTAAACAAATCAGGTCCCCTTCTGACTTTTGACATGCAGGTCCTAAGCTTGCACAGCACAAAAGCCACAATAGGCCATGCATCTGGTAAGTTACATATGAAAGGGACTTCTCACAAATTTTCCTATGAGCCTAAACTATTGTGAAGAGCTGCCCAAAAATTCTAGATGTCTCAAAGAAAGAAACTTCACCTTCCAAATATATCATACTTCAACCTTTCCAAGTCATGGGGATTCCTAAACTAGTAGGCAGGGACCTCTGGCAGGACAATGTGAATAACTCTGCATGTCCTGTTACATGGAGGACATGACAGAAACCCGAGGGCTAGGAAGTCTGCAGCATGGACTTTTACCAACTGTTCATTAAAAGGAGAAGACTAAAATCAGAATAAATCATGACAGAAACCTCAGAAGAGCTGAACCAGGCTTATTAAAGTAAAATTATTTTTTATAAACTTATGAAGCCCTTAAGAAATGTATGCATGTTTAAAAAATATCCTAGCCGGGCGGTGGTGGCACATGCCTTTGATCCCAGGACTTGGGAGGCAGAAGCAGAAAGATCTCTGTGAGTTCAAGGCCAGCCTGGTCTACAGAGCGAGATCCAGGACAGACACCAAAACTACACAGAGAAACCCTGTCTCGAAAAAACTAAAAACTAAAAACTATCCTAGCAAACAACCTAGATACCCGTCATCTGAAGAATGGATAAAGAAAATGTGGTACATATACACAATGGAGTACTACTTAGCAGAGAAAAACAATGACTGCATGAAATTTGCAGGCAAATGGATGGAACTAGAAAAAAATCATCCTGAGTGAGGTAACCCAGACCCAGAAGGACAAACATGGTATGTACTCACTCATAAGTGGATACTAGATATAAAGCAAAGGACAATCAGACTGCACAGATCCAGGGAGGCTATCTAGCAGGGAGAACCCTAGGGTGGCTGTGGCTTATAATAAGTTTTGTTTTTGCCCAATCACTGGGAATGCTTTAGTGAAACATTTCACTATTAGGATAAGAATGTGTACCATATCAAGTTGATGAAAGGATATGCTGGCTGTACTTTCAGGAGGGGAGGCTAAAATCTTTTTAGATTATGGATTAGCCTATAGAAAAATGTCTGCCATAAGTCAAACAGTGAAGGGGAAGATGAATAGGAATCTCACTCACACAACTTAAGTAAAACAGCTCTCTGAACAGATGAAGATAGGTTTCTTCTGTATCCCAGAATCTAATCAATATTTATATGTATAATTCAGCTATTATTTGGCTTAAAAGGGCTTATTGGGAAATGTTACCATTTTCACTATTTTCTACAAAGAAAATATTTTCCAGTTTCAGATAACTCTGGACTTTGGAATTATAACCTGTTTTTATGTAAAAAAAAAAAAAAGGCCCCAAGGCAAAAGGTAGACAAAGAGAAGCTGTTGTGGAATATTAGTTGAAGATGTGTTACATTTGTTTATGCTGTGGAATATTTGTTTACTGATGAAAAAATGTGCTGCATTCTTTTATGCTGCATTTTTTTTTAACTCTGTGAACCTGTGTTACTTTGCCTGTCTAAAACACCTGATTGGTTTAATAAAGAGCTGAATAGTCAAAAAAAAAAAATTATCCTAGCAGGGCATGGTGGCATACACCTTTAATCTCAGGACTTGGGAGGCAGAGGCAGAGGCAGGAGGATCTAAGAGGGAGACAAAGTAAGCTGATGTCTTACTTTGAAGGAAGAGAAAGTCTGTGCTTTTGTGTTTTGTTTCTTGGAGACAGGGTTTCTCTGTGTGGCCCTGGTGGTCCTAGAACTTGCTCTGTAGCCCAGGCTGGCCTCTCAGAGATTTACCTGCCTCTGCCTCCTGAGCGCTGGGATTAAAGGCAGGTGCTACCACCACCAGGCGAAAGCCTGTATTTTTAACATTTTCCCAACTCCATTTGTAGTCAACTGTTATTGTTATAATAATACAAATAGCTAATATACTTGGAATTATACGTTCTTATAAAGTGACTAGTAAACTAGAAATGAAACAGCTGAATTATCTGGTTCAGGTTTGCACTCATTCACTGGAACATATTACCCAATATTGAACCTTCTTAAACTCCAGTTTCCTAATTTAGTGCCTGAAGAGTGAAAACACCTGTCCTACCACTTCCTATGTGTATATATGGATGCAGTGAACCATATAAATTACTTTCTATAGCTAAAAAAATCATTGCAAAACTGTCATTCTGGCTTCTGCTTACAAAGATTATTATGCAACTTCTATTGGTATTCCTTACATGCCAAAATTCATGAAGCTCCCTTCTATGTGCACGACGCCTGTACTTTCCCAGTTACCTCTCCTCACATGCTGCCTTCAGTGTAACTACTGTCCAGTTCTGTGTGTTTCACTAAGCTGTGCAGTGGTATTTGCTCTGCCCATGACCTTGGGCTATACGGCCTGAAGGAGGTGGTGCTTCTTGCCTCTTTTTTTGTTTGTTTTTTTTTTTTTGGTTTT